TGTTTAGTCTGTTTTTTTCTTTTATCAGAGTTTTCTTCTTTTTTTTGTCAGTGTTTGGTTGGTTTGGGAAGCTGTTGACAATGTCCATCCATTAAATGGCTTGTGATCAGCATGTAATATTCCCACACATATGTGGCCAGTAGGGACCTCTGCTGCCTTCTATTAGGCTCAGTAGGCGCATTATCATTCATTTTGATCATTGGCAAACAGAAAGTAACCCTGATAATGTCGGAAACCTCTGAATAGGTGCGTGGAAGATCTCTGGTGGAGTTGTCATCTTAGAAATGTACAAAATGGAGCTTCGTAACATGTGGTAACTGTGTATTTAAAACCTTTTCTTAGCTTTACCAAGTAGTTTTTGGTGCTAAATTTCACCAAACACTGATTGGAAAAACAGCAGGCGAAACAAATGAGAAAATGAAAGTCAAAATGTCAAAAGTCAAAAAACTAAAACAATCGAAAGGACTTGAATTCAAGTCTTCTGGATAAACGTTAAATGACTTAACTCTTAACCCCCTTCAACCTCAAATGCAGACTTGTGCAAAGTTGGGGCTACGCTGTCATTTTAGGGTTGATAACAGCCTGCTGACAATACTAGAAGGTGAAGAAAGCCCCCACTGGCTCATATGTGTGGGAATGTGCTGATAACAGACCATTTAATGGGCTGATGATATCCAAACCGGGCGGCCTGAAACAATTGACCAGTATTATTGTTTTCCTGGTGAGGTCGAGCTGCTTATTTAAATCCCAGAGGGTGTTTTTCCTCCCTCAGTGCGGTTTCTTTAGAGAAACAAGTCATTCAAAGAAATTCAGACCAGTTGAATCAAGACTGTGTTGCATGGGTGGTTTCGAATAATCAGATCCCACCCAGTATTACAGGAAAGCAAAGTTTGTTAGCTGTGTGACTTATGCAGATGCTCTTGTTTGTTTCATTGGGGGAAAACACTTAGCAGCAACATATTTCAGGCATATTCAGTTGTTGGTTAGTGAAGCTTTTGAAACACAGTCTTTCCACCAATCCAAATACACTCTTCAGTAGTTCCACAGTGTTTTGCCTGACTGTATAGGTGTGACCTGGCATTACTGTGCTGTGCTGCTGTCACATCAGCTCAGTTCTGCTCTGTGTGTGTTGGACAGGTTGACTTCCTCGCTAACGAGACAGACATGAGGATTTTTTCCACAGAGAGCAGTGAAAACATGAGTACAGAGAATTAAAAGAGGGAGGGAGGTGAAGGGGGAGAAACATAACCGAGGAGCCGGTGGGTATTAGAGGGTGGATACTGATTGTGATATTTTGAATTTAACCTTCTTATAACAGATGTGCTGACATTTAAACATTTCAATCTGACCATTTTTATACCACAAAAGTAAAAAAAAAAAAAGAAAGAAAGAAAGAAAAATGCCAAGAATTCAGTTTGTGCCCTAAAAATGTATTTTGATCGGGGTGGAGCACTGAAACCCTGAATAATGACAGCACGTGATGTTACTATTCTCTTATTCCCACCACTTGTAGTGTTACCTTAACAGTGACATTGGTAACTTTCATCCATATCTTTGAAAAACAGCACTTCCACAGCAGTGAAATTATTCTCTTGACCACTTGGCATCAGCAGAACCCACTGTGACCCCCATATTTAACTTTATAAACCTTTTAAACCTGTCACTAAAGCACAGGGAAGCACATTTACATTCAGGAGACGTGGTGTAACATTACCAGCCATTTTGTTCTGTTCCAGGCAATGTAAGGTCAACACTATTTGGGTCTCTAACTGATAAATGCTCTGCTGTGTCCACTAACTAGTTGCAAACTTTGTCTAGTAGGTAAGGTTCAATGGGATTGTGCAAGCTTTTTACTGAAAACAAGTGCCTGTTACATTTGGGAAGAGTGGCGAGGGTGAACCAAACCAGTAAAGCTGTGGGTCATAAAACCAAAACAAAAGAACTGAAAGATGGTAAAACATTCTGTTGAGCTGAGGGGAACGTAGGGTTCAGTAGAAATTTGGGGAAACTTTACTAAGCTAGTCGTTTAAACCCATCCATTTTAAGCAGAGTACAAATATAAACTATACTATGATGTTGTTGAAAGTCGTTATAAGGACATCTGCAAGTCTTATGGACATCAAAAGGTGGAATCATAGTTGTTAACAAAGTAAAGGGCCACCAAAAATATCGATTTGGGCAACTTTTATCCATGGATCCACCATCATAGATTGTATATAGAAGATATGTTGACAATCTTTCAGTTACAAGGTAGCCTTGCCCTAAAACCTACCCAACGTTATTGTTTATTTCTCTAAATGGAACCACATTCTACTAAATGGACGTCATACTGTATTTAGAAAGTCTTGAAACTCCACATCTGTTCACTCTGAAGATGTCAGAGAAAGATATCATTTTGCACTGTGAAAAACGTCACGTCAGCCTTCTCCTTGTCCTGGTTCACTGTCTTGTGTTGACTGAAATTTCTGCAACACAATAATGTGCAGTTCTTTCTCACTCTCCCCCTCCTAGTTTCCTGTCCCTCCCCCCTCTCTCTCCATCATTACGTCAACCTCAGTGTTTGTGAGTCGTCCACCCCAGACCTGACCTCAGCTGTTCCACCACTGACTTGCGTAAACATTCACCTCACCGTGACGTTTGTAAGGGTACTATCGAAACTTCACTTCACTTACACTGTTTCTAGAGATATATCTTACGATTTCATTTTCTTTTTCTGGTTTTACCTAACCTGACGTTAATAATTTGACGTTCTCCAATTTGACCCCAGCTGTTTGTTTTACCACCTGTCTCCTTATACTACTTGAAAGCTTAACCTCTTGAGGTAAATGGCTGAATTTATTATACATACGCAGTAGTTTGAGAAGTCAGTGAAAAGTTTGTATGAAAACATTCTTTATCTGTTGGGAAATATACAACAAATACAGCTTCTGACCGTCAGACATTGTGGGAATCTGTTGCCGGTTTCATTCTCCTGCCAGCCATTTTTCTCTTGAATTCTTATTTTAAGAGGTAAGATTTCTCATCATGTTGAGCTGATGTTGTGGTTAACCACAGAAATTGATCCACAGCAGATATTTCAGTTGAAAAATTCTGCAACATTTTGTATTGGCTTGAGAAATCAAAAGAACAAAACCCAAACCCAAGAATAAAAGATTAAACAAATAAAGTGAATCCACAATTTGTTAGCAGTTGCACAACTTTTTCACTTACATAAAACAGAGAGAGTGAGGTTAAGTTTGCACAGTGGGAAAGTCAGACCACATAAGTCTTTATGCATGTGCTCATTAGCATTTAGCAATTCTTCCGGCAAGTACTGCTACGTCTGACTGCCTCTGTCTCAACTATTGTTTTGCTCAAAGAAGAACTCCACTGAAAGCCTGTTTTTAGCTCCAAACACTCATCATGTGGGCCACAGAGATGTCTCCGGGAAGTTTATAAGTGTCCTCCCTCAAATTACACAAGCACTCACTGTGCTGCGCTTGAAATATGCATATTCTTTCTAAAACGTGACTAAATATGTCTTTTACTAGCATGGTCAGCTGTTAGTTAAATATTTCTCTGGGACCAATGGAAAGAAATGTTTAAAGACGTGCCAAGGAAGTGATGATGCCAGTGTTCGTACAGATAGACCAGATAGAACAGCCTGACCTCTTTAGGGAACTCGTGCCACCTTTAAAGTTGAGGTAGGCAGGGTTTTTGGCATTACTGGACAAAAAGTCCATACGAATCTACCAGGATATTGTAATTCATGGGGTCTGAGAGGCAACAACTCCTCCAGGCTCTAACTTCAGGTTTTAGAAAATTTATCTTGTGATGAGAGATATTTCAACCAATCACAGGACTGTTCACTGATCAGATGGGATAATAGAAATAGCATCAAAGTCTACAATGACAACTGATTTGGAGGTGCAGAAGGTTTGATGTCAGACTTTTGGCTTGTTCTTTTGGTGGGAGGAGTTTGGAACAGAGGGATATGGTGATTAATGGAGCTAATCACAACCACTCTAGCGGGAGTGAAACTTTAGTGGTCCTCTGAACAAACACAATCCTCCGTTTAAGTGCTAGAAGGAGAACACGAGAACCCTTTCACAGCCACATTACAAACCTACAGAGAAATATTTCATCCTCACAACACTAAGTGTTTCTTTCAAACAGACATGTGTCTCAGAAACATCACTGCAAAGTCAAACAATTTGATGTGGAAAGGAAAAACACTTCAAATGACAACATAGATTATAATGCTTCAGCAGTCAAGACAACCAAGTCTGACATTGTTTGCTTAAAGGCCAGCTCAGACTATCAAAGTGTCTGAGTGTCTCTCTCCAGCTACTCAGCAGCCTGTCCAACATCATTTTTATAAAAAACTATATATGAGTGTGTTTCCTTGCTCTTTTCCGTCAGACACAGTCTCCCCTGTGGTTGGACTGAGTGTTACGGTAAAGTGTTTCCTAAACATGGGGCTGCACACTAGCAGTACCTCAGGTATGGAGCTGGATGGTGTACAGTTAATGACGTGTTGTATAAAGTCCATAGCGGTTACATACAGCTATGAAAACATGAAGTCAAATGTATTGTGGAACTTTAAAGTAAACAGATTTTTGGGGGGTTATTAGACCCTCTGGTTATATTCTGTCATGCTTCCTATAGCCTGTTCCAGTGTGCGATGACAGCCTCCTCAGGCTCACAAAACATACAATACTCCCACCAGAATCACCACACAAAACCAACAACTGTTCTCATGCTCTGCACCACTGTGGGGCTGATTTCTACTGAGTGAGCAACATCTAAGCAGAAGAAAAACATGCATATTCTGAGATCGCAGCCTCATGCTGCACACACTGAGTACAATGCAGAGACTTCAAGGAGATGGATTGCAAGGCAGCTGGTTTGTGTGATTTATGACAGGAGTAATAAAACTTGTTGGTGGCTCCAGAGGAATTGAATTTCAGTCAGCTTCATTTTTTTAATGTCTGCTTTGTGTCTCTCTTTCTCTTTGGCAGACAACTATGGTGGATACGAGAACCAGCTTTTCAAAGGTAATGAGCAAGCTTTTCTATTGTCCCGGTCTAACAACCAGAGATGTCAACCAGTTCATTTTACATTATTGTTGATCCGTCTCTTGTTTCCACGCAAACACATACTATGAGTCCTTTTTGACCAAGAACAGACTTGAGTTTAATTGTTGTCATGAGAATTCAATTCAAAAAAGCCCAACGCTGCATTTGTGATACATAAGAGTTGTTATTTTTTTTGACTTGTAGCGAGAATTTACATACATATTCAGATCACAACTACAGCTAGGTTTTCTCTGAAACAAAGGGCAGTCTTCCAGGCTGAACTTTATGTGTGTTTCAACCACAAGAACTGCACCGTAAAACGTCCAGTTACCTTTTGAGAGAGACAATGTACCTACTCCAGGGTAGGTACTTCTGCATGCTACTTTACTGCTTTCTCAATGTCCTAATTGAGTAGCAGTCTCCTCTCTAACATCCAATCTTCAAAATAAAATTCACTACATAAGCTAATGTGCTCGTAGAAGTGAGTTATGTCCTGTATCTTCTATTTGTTCTTGTTTTGGTGCACTCTAAGTTAACATCATGGTTGAAAGCCGTCAGTTCCAACACCACAATGGAACTAGAAAGCTTAAAGCCCAATTTCAGGCTGTTCCTATAAATGTTAATGCCAACTCGTGCCTGCTCTGAGTTCCTGCAGTGGAAACCCATCCATAGATTCAGTTAGAGCAGATCCCTTTGGGTTCACCAGACAGCATTTACACAGGCATGTCAGGAGCCAGTCAGCTCCTGTGAGTGGTAAACTGTTGAACTGGCTTGCTTTGGTTCCCAGCAAAAGTGTTAAACCATGGACACACCGAGTACAAACTTGCACGGCCTTCTATTACAGTACAAGAAACCCTTGAAGTGTTTTCTTACTAATGTTTTATAAACTCCTTAAACAGCAACATTTATCCTCAGATCTCAAACATCATCACAGCTCTGCTTAATAAAACCATTTATGGATAGAAAGCAGCATTGTCAATGGAAACACAGGAAAATCCATTCTTTGTGACATGAATATGGCATTATGCATGCTTGGTCAGATCAAAAACATCATGGTTTTAAATTGTATTCTTTGCTCTTCTTCAGAGGAGGACTTCACTGGAGAGGAGGAGGAAGTGCCTTCATTTAGAGGTGAGATCAGTATACTCACAACAACAACAAACACAGCTGGTTTCTTTTTCTTTTTTCTTTTTTTTTTTTAACATAAATTTCCCATTTTACCCCCAAATTATGATCCTTTCATTTCCATTTTGTTGTACATGTGTCATTATAATGACATTTCAGAAGAAACATTTATTCAGCTACATTTATTTAATAACCAGTTACAGCTTCACAAACTCAGATTTTTCAACCAAATCATACAATCACAATATAATCACTGTTCTGCTTCACTCTCACTGCTTCTGTAGCATTGTTCCATTCCCAGTCATCTGCCTGTAATGTTTCTCAGAGTCCAGCATAAATGTTTTGGCTCTTCTTTGCATTTATATTCTATTTAGTCATTAACTTACACACATTAATTTACTGTGTGTTTATGTTGATTTGATGTGTCTCCAGGTCGAACCAGAGGTGGCTGTGTGAGGTGCCAGCAGAGCCATTCTCTCCAGCTGGCCGTCAAAGTCCTCTATGGATTTGTTGCCTTCCTCATCATTACCGTGGCAGTGCTGGCGTCACTTGGTGAGGGCAGTTTGACTTTTGATTTTACTTTGCAGCCTAAAGTGAAAAAAATGCTTTAGATTTTATCTCTTTACATGCAGAGATGCCGAAAGCTTGGATGCATTCAGCCTCGCTGTTTGTCGGGTAATACCACTGAGAAATGCTGACATTTATTATGAAGTCCTGCACATCTCTGGAAACAGCCCAACCATGGCTAGAAGCAGAGAACTACAAATGTCTTTTGAGCAGTACGACACAGTCACAAGACGAGGGGAGATAAGACAAGCTAAGATAACCTTTATCAATCCCTCACTGGGGATGTTTACATGTTAGAGCAGCTAGATACAAGAAGTAAGACAAGAAATACAAAAGTATAATAAGGCTAAACATAAAGATCTGCATCAAGAGTGAGAAGCAGGTTTGTCCTGGGAATAGGTCAGACTCCTCTACTTACTTTTAACTTGTCCTAATAAAACACAGCCCATTTAACTCCCATCGATCAAATAAATGTGTTCCTGGGTTGTGCGTGCCATGTTTTACCTGACAGCTGCTCAGCACCAACAGATGCTTTTCACATTAACATCACTTTTTATTGGAGCTGAAAGCTGTAAATCTCCATCTTTTACTACTGTTCAGGGATCTCAGAGGAGAGAGAGCGAGGCCTGGCAGAGTAATGCAAAATCCCACATCACACCCAAGCTCATATTCAAGCACATAACATAATAAAGTCCAGTTTTGTTTTGGCTGTGCCGTGAACTGTGTGTGGGCATTTCATTTAATTTTTCTTAACACATGTGCAGGAAACATGTAGACATAGCGTGTGTGTTCATATAGGTTTGTCAACTGTCATTAACAAGTGATTTAACCCATGATGAGCAAGGGTTGGATATCACCGAGAACCCCAGGTTATGACTTATCAGTCACAAGGTAGTCCCATCCTACACCTGTACCCTACTGTGTTCTGTATTTTGGTATCATCAGTGAAATAACAAGATTATCCTCCCATACAACCAGGAATTCAACTGCAATATGTGTTTTGTGGCCAAAAAAAAAAAGTGTCTGTTACATCATACAAAGAACATTAGCAACTTGGCTAGCTTGTTTGTTCAGTGAGTTAGTGTTTGAACTGTTTTAAATAATTAAACGGTCTCCTAACAGATTACACAGCAGGGTCGTCACTATTTCAAGTTTTATTTCTGTACCCCAGCATTGTATTCATGTTGTGGTAGTAAGAACACAACTCATATTGTTACTGTCATGAAAGGTGTATGTACACTTTTAAAGATTGTGTCTATCGTGGCAGTCTTGAGTTTCTTCGTCACAAAAAACACTCATGCATTCTGGTTCTTTGATAGATGCATGATGGAAAAATTACACAATCTGCTGGCTAATAGACATACAGCCACTGTACTACTTTTTAAAAAAATTTGGTGATGTAGAAAGCTGTGGTAATCAAATTAAATTTTGGGGGGTCAAAAATATACATACAGCAAGTCCAATATTTGGTTATATGTTCTTTGGCCAATTTCATCTCACTTCTGGTAGCTTTCCATAAGCTTCTGGTTGTATCTTTGACCACTCCTCTTGACAGAACCCGTGCAGTTAAACTAAATTTGTTGCCTTTCTT